TGTTCAGACCATACGTGAATCAACGCTGCGTATGTCGCAGTGATTTCTTCTTTTTCTATTGATGGCAACCTTTGAAGAACTTCTCTCGCCAAGGCATCCTTCCCGCTCTGCTCCAATACAGAGATCAGTGTTGCATACGTCACAACATCAGGTTTGGGAGGGTGAGGCGGGGTAATGTCCTCTTCATCTGTCGCCTCAACTGGTGGCGACGAGGCTTCGTTTGCTACTGCTGTCAATGTCACCGTATTACCTTCTTCCCCGGGGGAGGGAGAATTTGGCTCCATCTGCTGCAAAGGATTCGGACCCATTGACCGCACAATTGCGAAAGCGCTTTCCCAATCAAGTGTCTTTTCACACACCGCCAGGCACACATTGTATGCCTCAACAGGCTGTTCCTCGGGGAGAATACGCGTTTGGAGGAAGTGAACAGCACGCTTCCAGCCATGAAATCCCTCTGTTACACCAGTTTCCGTCGTATTGGCGAGTAGTGAGACGGCATCAATCAGCGTCTTGGGTGACTGCTTTCGAAAAATGTACCCAAGCTGCTCCACAAGTTGCCACTGCCTCGCTGCCGCGCACGTTTCAAGGAGGACAGTTAGATGGGCAACGTTTGGTGTAACGCCATCGCTCCCTACAGTACTATCGGCCTTCTCCACCAGCGTGAGGGAAATGCCACTGCGATCATCTACATGTTCTGCCATCAGCACCCCCGTGGATTCACTAAAGGACCGCAATGCGTCTTCCCATGCATGCATGCGCTTCGCAGCATGCAGGTAGGTAAGCAAGTCTTGACTATTGCGGACAAGATTGTGAGAATTGTGTATCGACGGCCTGGATGCCGCGACGGCCTCTTCATCCTTCTCAATAAGACCAAACAATTTCGCGACACTCTTGTCGCCCTGCACCGTCGTGGCGTGGGACGGCAGCGGCGTGTCAAACGTAGTTTGGTTTGCACCAAAGGGAGCTGCACGTGTGACGTGTTTGCGCGGCAACCGCATGGACCGTGCCAGAACCTGTTCGAGTGTGAGTGGCGGCATGTTGATGGATACACGCGCTTCCTCACTCGGTATGTGTATTGTTCTTGCAAGACTCTTTTGCACCGTCTTCTATCCAGCCACGACTAAGGAATACACCACCGTTTCTTCTATAACAGCTGAAGCAATGGAGTAGACAACGCAGCACGATATGTATATGCATGGAAAGAGAGAGAAAGAGAGAAATTGGGAGGGGTGACATAATACGCGTTAGCTTACTCTACTGGAAGAGAGCGAGCAAAACAAAAATAAAAATTGGCGATATAAAAGAAAATAATTTGAAAAAAGCGATGACAGCATTCAGGTCAGCATACCGAGCTTCATTGTCACACGCTCCAACTGTTCGTCCCCGTGCGCCGCCTCCACGGACGCAGCACGCGAAGCGAATGCACGCTGCAGCAACTGCCGCACGCGCTCCGGGACCCGCTCCACAGTGAGGCAGAAAAGCATCGCAACTTCAAGCGTGCCTGACTCATATGCGAGCCGGAACAAAAAAACCCACTCGCTGTCGTTGTTGGTGCTGCGTGGAAGTTGAAAGAGCGGCAGCAAACGCTCCACACGGTTCTTGGCCATGCAGTGGGCTATGAATTCACGCGTCCACGAGAGGGCGGCAACGCCTTCAGGGAATTCATATTCCTCAAGAAGGTTCAAGACACGATGCTTCATATCCTCATGAAGCGCCACCCGGTCTTTGGCAGCAACCGCAGCAACGACAGGAGTACCGGCAAAAGCATCCATCACGCTTGGCACACCCTGCAAGAGGCCATACAAGCCTCCTTCCAGTCGCTGTAGTTTGCGCCGGAAGAGGGGCGCCGAAACAGCCAGACTTCGCCCTCGACCGTAACAAGACCCATAACTGCCTGACGTGGCATCGTCGCCACGTTCCGTCATTCGTTGGAGCCGCTCCTGCTCCGCCCTCATCATCCACCTCAGGAGTGAAAAACGTCGTTGTAGCAGAATACGCAAGCACGTCAAGTAATCTGCTGGAGACTCGCAGAGTTTGAGCCCAGAGGCCTCGTATAGTGCAAGCACCAAATCCGCTATGCCGTCTGCGAGGTCCTCAAGAGAGAGGGGTGCTACCACACTCCCAGCATCACGTAGTGTTTGGAACGCCATGCTCTGCACAGTACTAGACAACGCCCACTCAAAGTAAGCGAGGGATGTTCCTGGGTAGTGCTGTAGCGCCAACGAAATCGCCTTGGACGGAAATGTAGCGAATACATATGGGAAATATGCATAAAAAGCGCAGTTTGGGTAAGGTACATCATCCAGCGCGTCAAGAATGTGTGGTGATTGCTCAACGATGATATTCTCCAACTGTAATTCCATAGCCCGTGATTGCTGGCACTCCACAGAAGTACGTCGAGCAGCCTGAAGATTAGCTAATATCACCGCGCACCTTTCGTGACCATTAAGAAGAACTGAGAGTCGCATTGGCGTCGTGCTACTTGACGGCGGCGCCTGCAGCGAGGAGACTACATAGTTGCTGAGGGCGAGGACAAGTGGTAGGTACCTGTCATCCACGCCACAGCGTTCCACCGTCTGTTCAATGGCGCCAGCTTCCTCCAACCAGCACTCCTCTGTCAATCGCAGCTGCAAATGACCCGACTCTCCCGGGATAGGCTCCGATAAGCCGCGCAAGGATGCAATAGAGCATGCTGGCCACGGGATGGCGAGTAACAAATGCAGCAGAATAGCAGTTTTCATCCACGGGAGTTCACCTTCACCAACCTCGTGCTTAACAGACCATGCCAAAGCGGACTTGAGCACATTACGAAGAGCACTCACCGTGGCTTCCTCCTCAAAAAGAAAATTCCCGTCCACTATTTTTCTGGTGTCATTTGCTGTTTGGTGACGACCGCCGCACGAGTTGGTGATTTCGCCGAGGTGCGGCACGAGGTGTGACGACCAGGACAAAAGCCTACTCTGTATCAGCTGTTCCTCGAGCAGTGGAAGGAATTCTTGCACAGCAGCGTAAAGCTGTGAATGCTCACCAACATGGAGGGCATGAACGTTAAAGAGACGTATCAAGTGATCCATTTCAACTCGAAAGCGACGATAGCTGCTTCTCGACATTCCACTCTCCCCAGTGTTTCTTTTAACCTTGTTTCCCGCCTCAACACTGTTATCATTCCTACAAAAAGAAGCTTCTCGTTCTTTAGGGATGAATACTTTCTCGCATACCACACGCGGACAGATTTCTCTCGGCACATCATCTTTTTTGTGGAGTTTATCCACCTCGTCCACGCCACCGGCCGTTGAAGTCACCACCGTCCCACGCTCGCAAGTCAACGAGGTGTCACTGTGTGCAGAGAACGACCGTGGAATTATGGCCAGCCCACCGCTATGCGTCCTATCATCATCAACAAGAGGAGGCTCTGGAGCAGGAATTACAGGATCCAACACGGGCGAGCAGCATTCTGACGCATGCAGCACCTCCCCAATGCGTGATACTTTTCGGCGGCGCACGATAAGAAAAACCTTCTTCTTAACCACTCTCCTGTGATGATGCACGGACCTGGATTCAGTATCGGCCGCACTCAGCTGTTCCGACCTTGAACGCTCCAATAACTCATCGGAAGCGTGAAGACGAGGTACCCGAGTAGGGAACTTGTATCTCACAAGAGGAACATACATGAGCTTTCCGTCTGAACAGAGCACAAGTGCTGATGAAGAAAGGATAGCACTACAAACAACAGCAGTATTGAAAAAACGTCGCGTAACATGGTGGGTGTCTGTGGTAGCAAGGACCAGAATACTGACAAAACGCGGACCCTCTGACCACAGCAATACGGGAGGCGGTGAGCTCTGCACCACACCATTATGGGTGGTCACTGCGAGAGACGACGACGCTATCAGCAGCGGCTTCATCGCACCCAATCCCGCCTCTGGAGGGATTCGGAATGTACGTGCAACGACACCAGAGGAAACAGCACATTCAAAGATACGTGTGTTGTGACGTGCAGCATATACCGCATGGCTGATTGGCCAGATGCAGGCGCCGAGCACGCCCTCTTCCCTTGGTTTCGTCCCTATTGGTTTCACACTCAGTGAAGCATTGGCATAGGTGGCTACGACACTACGCTGCACGGAAGAAACTACAAGAAAACTACTCACTGCATCCCACGCAATTTGAACGATTGGTGATTGCTCCTTCAGTACGACGCGGTGTGAAGCATTTACCGACGCTGAGACTGCCAACACCACCCCGTCTAGGCATCCGACTAAGAACGTATCCCCATCAAGCCAACAGTGTGCTGTAGCACGATTCGTATACTGTAGAGGGTCGCCAGCAGCATGGAGTGATACCGATCTCTCTACCCGAAAGCCAAAATGGCCTGAATCGGATGAATCTGCGGTGCTAAAAGTCACGAAAGTAACAACATCATGCCCATGCAAAACAGATAAAAGAATTTTATCGACCGAAGAGTACAGACATGGACACAGGCAATCAATCATCCGTGAAATGTCCGCATTGCACTTCGCCACCCCGCTTCCCACCTCGCTAGATCCGGCAGGGAGCACTGTCGTGGCATCAGCGACACATTCAAGCTCTCCAGAGCAGCTGTCCAAGCGGTGGGCGGTGACCCGGCCGTTGGTATAGCCAAAAAAGGCATGGGACTCCGTTGCAGTAAAACTGCAGCACGGAGAGTCTCCAGGGCAGGTAATGAAACGCACTGCATCGTCGTCCAGGCTAAGTCCCATTTCCCCCATAATTGACTCGCTTACTGTGCGGGGCATCTCCCCCCCTTCCCCCCTCCCTTTTGGGAATGCCCTACACTATGGGAAAAAGGGGAGGAAGAGACTGAATGACCAGCTGACAATGACGAAGATAAGCGTCAGATACCCCTCATTCATACAGAACTGCAAACTTCATTGACGTCACTCTTTACAGCTCCTCGCTTCAAAAAAACAAAAAAACACTGCCAAGGCAATGTGATTACTTCCCCCATCGATGCATAGCTCAGTTATATAATATTGTGTTATTCTTTCACTAAGAAACCCCAACAAAAAACAGAATCGAAAGCGAAAAGAAAAAAAATGAGGTGCACGCGAATGAGAGAAAATAAAGGGAAAAGAAAGGAAATACATGCGAAAGATTAGGACATGGTAAGCGCTATCACTCTGTACAGGCGTATCGTGTGTGCCAAGCTGTGGCGCATAGAAAACGCCAGTTGGTCCATACACCGGTGCAAAAAAAAACAAAATCATTTTGTTGTTGCAATTGAATCACATGCACAGTGTGATTTATTTCTCTATGTGCATATGCTCCCCTTTGGAATCACATATCGAGAACCTAATAGAGACGCAAAGAGAAGTATTTCTAGCTTATAACAATAAGCAAGTAATTCTCAAGTTACCCCTTAATGCCTATAGTCGCATCGCATCTCTTCTGGAGCGCTGCAAGGTTACGAAATCCATCGCACCTTCAGCTTTCATTCTCTCCCTCGCCCTCGTTTTTTTTTCTCTTTGCGTTCTCGCGCCAAACCACACACTCTCTCTCATACACACACACACACGCACAGAGAGACAATCCGGCCGCTCATTTTCCTTCTCTTACTGTACTTCCTTTTTTTCTTTTACTGTCGCAAAAATTAGTCGCTCGCATAATAATTTCATTCGCACACGCTGGAGTTTATTGCCAATATAGACCACATCGTTCATATAAAATTTTCTGTCGTTGAAAGCAGTGCCGACCTACCACTTCTCTTTTTGGATTATTTCACGTGGGACTGCCTCCATTTGACTTATTCTCCTTTTTTTTTGCTTTTGCCTGGGGGGGTTACAAGGCGCCACGAATCTTCTCCCGGAGAACGTATTGCAAAATGCCACCGTTCTCCACGTATTTCACCTCCATTTCCGTATCAATCCGGAGGATGGCCTTGAACGAGGTGCCGTCGTTCTTCTGCACGGTCACCTCCTGGCCAGGGCGCATGCCAGTGGAGAAGTCGAAGCTGAACTTTTCTTTGCCCGTGAGGCCGAGAGACTGCGCAGTCTCACCTGGCTTAAACTGCAGCGGAACGATTCCCATGCCGACAAGATTGGAGCGGTGAATACGCTCGAAGCTCTCTGCAATGACCACCTTGATGCCCTGCAGGAAGGGCCCCTTGGCAGCCCAGTCACGCGAGGAACCACTGCCGTACTCCTTTCCAGCAAGGATGACAAGTGGAATGTTATCGGTCTGGTACTTCATAGCAGCATCAAAAATATACATTTTCTCATTGGTTGGCCAATATACGGTAAATGGACCAGTCTGACCCTCACCGACAAGCTTGTTGCCAAGACGCGTGTTTGCAAATGTACCCCGCACCATCACAAGGTCGTTACCACGACGTGAACCATATGTGTTAAAGTCTTTTCGTTCAACCCCGTGCTCTTGCAGATACTTGGCAGCAGGAGATTCCTTGGCAATGTTCCCTGCGGGGGATATATGGTCAGTTGTGATTGAGTCACCAAAGAGGGCAAGGCAGGCCGCATTTTCTATTACATTGGCCGGTTTTACTTCCATACCCATGGACTCAAAGTATGGAGGATGATGTATGTAGGTAGACTTTGCTTGCCACTCATATAGTTTTCCCTCTTTCACTTGAAGGTTATTCCATTGCTCGTTGAGCGTTGTAATACTCTGGTACACTGACTTGAAGAGATCTGGTGTGACGTATTGCTTCACCACCGCTGCCACCTCTTCGTTGGTGGGCCAGATGTCGCGAAGGTACACGCCGCTTGCGATGGGCTCGGTGTCGAAATCAATATTGACACGCCCAACCAGAGCGTACGCCACGACAAGCGGCGGCGACGCAAGAAAGTTTGCGGCTGTCAACGGGTGAACACGGGCTTCAAAGTTTCGGTTTCCAGAGAGTACTGCAGCCGCAACAAAGTTGTTGTCGGTGATGCATTTTGACACTGCTGGGTCAATATCACCAGAATTACCAATACAAGTCATACATCCGTATCCAGTTGTGTTGAAACCCAGTGTATCCAGGGACGCCTGCAAACCAGAGGCTTCAAGGTACTTTGTCACCACATGCGAACCGGGCGACAGGGAGGTTTTGACACCCGGTGGCACCTTCAGTCCCTTTTCAATCGCCTTCTTTGCAAGGAGACCTGCTGCAACGAGGACGTTGGGGTTAGACGTGTTGGTGCAAGATGTGATAGCGGCAATCACAACACTTCCATGCCGCATCTCCGCCTCCTGACCATTGATAGTGTAATGCTTCACCTTGTCGTGTTCGCCAGGAGGAATTCCGAACCCCTTGAAGCCAGTCTTGGCACCAAGACAGGCGTTGAAGTCTGCTTTCATATTCTTTAGCGGCACGTGGTCATGTGGGCGCTTTGGGCCAGCAACGGCTGGCTCAACTGTGGAGAGATCTAATTCCAAGTTCTGGGAGTACTCGATCTGCTCGCTTCCAGTACGGAACATCTTAACAGCCTTGGCGTAGTCTTCAATGCGCGAAAGGTGCTCTGCGGTGCGGCTTGTGCAACGGAGGTAGTTGATTGTCTCCTCATCAATCGGGAAGAAACCGGTGGTGGCACCGTATTCCGGCGCCATGTTCGCCAGCGTCGCGCGGTCTGGCAGAGAAAGGCTGCTGACACCAGGGCCGTAGAACTCCACGAACTTACCCACGACACCAAGCTTACGCAGATTCTTCACGACAGCAAGCACAAGATCAGTTGCCGTGCATCCCTCTGACAACTTTCCAGTGAAACGGTAGCCCACAACCTGCGGCAGCACCATCGACAACGATTGGCCCAGCATACCTGCTTCTGCCTCAATGCCACCAACACCCCAGCCAATCACACCAACGCCGTTCACCATCGTTGTGTGTGAGTCCGTACCGACAACAGAGTCGGGGTAAAGAATGCCCTTATTGTTGAACACAACACGGGCGAGGTATTCCAGGTTGACCTGGTGAACAATGCCGGAGCCAGGGGGAACAATCAGCAGGTTGTCAAAAGCTTTTGAACCCCACTTGAGGAACTCGAAACGCTCGCGGTTGCGATGCATCTCAATATCCTGGTTCTGTTTTGCCGCTGTTGCGGTACCGTACTTGTCCACTTGAACAGAGTGATCAACGACGAGTTCCACTGGGATTTGAGGGTTGATACTCTCGGGGTTTCCGCCCAGACGCTTCGTCGCATCCCGCATTGCAGCCAAATCGACCACACATGGCACACCAGTGAAATCCTGTAGCACAACGCGAGCGGGTTTGAAGGGGATTTCGATGTTTTTATGGCAATTCTCCTTCCAGTTAAGGATATTCTCCACAGTCTTTGAAGTGACATCGAATTCGTCGCAGTTTCGAACAGCTGATTCAAGGAGAACACGAATGGAGAAAGGTAGAGTGTCGTATTTCGAATCGATCTCATGCAGCTTGTAGTACTGTGCCTCACCTCCATCTGCCTTCAAAGTCGCAAGGTATTTCTTGAAGGGGTTGACCTGGGGTCTACCAGCCTTCAGAGGAGTGGTACCACGTATCATTGCTTCTTCTTTGGTTTGGTGTGCTTTATCTGTTTTTGAGTAAGCTTCCTCTTGCACCCTAGACTGCAGTTCGGCAAAATCCCATAGATAAGAAAGAAAGAAGGAAAGAATCTAAAATAAAATACTGGAGATTTTCCACAGAATCAGAGAGACTAAAAAGTAGAAGGCAAACGGCAAAGGGCAGACGACAGCGTTTACGATAAGATGGATGCAGTCAAAAACACCAAGAAGAAAATTGTACAAAAACGCTCTAAGCGACGACGAGTCCACTGGCATCACCATTATTATCATTGAAACCTCGTTAACTCCTTCGTCAGTTGCCTGTTTCGTCTCATCGCATCACTGAGTTGCTGATGTAAGGATTCTACTTGGCTACCGTACAGCTTCACCAGATCTGCCCCGCGATGGCGCTCACTCTCCAGCTCCTGACGAGTTTTTTGTAGCTCTCGTTCTAATCTAACTCCTTGCGCAGCAAACTCGTTGCCGCACGCCTCCAACTGCGCCATCAAGGCCCCTTCACGCCCCTCAGCGTCTTTCAAGGCGTTGCGCAGCACAAGCACTTCTGCATCGAGGTCAACCCTTCTCTCACTGCACTCTCCTTCCCCATGCTCATGGAGAGTGTCATGGGCGATACGGGGATGATGCGCCAACAGAGTATCGCGTTCCTGCTCCATCCATTTTCTCTCTCGCGCTTCCTGCAGAAGGGTCACCTTGAGTTCCTCCACAGTGTGGGCGAGTTCCTGGACCTGCCGCAAGGCCTCGTGCTTCTCCCGCACATGTTCGTCGACACTCTCTTCCCAGCGCTGCTGTGCAGTGCGAAGCCGTTCTCTCCATTTTCTTTCAGTTTCCGCGAGACGATCACTCCATTCGTTTTGAAATTTATCGCGCTCCTGGGCGGCCGCAAGCGTCGCCTGTTCCTCCATATATTTTAAACGACACGTCAGCTCGTCATTCTCTATCCGCAGGCTGCTCAAAGCTTCTTGAAACTGCTGTCGGTGACGTCTCTCATCCTCGCGTCTGCTTTCCTCCAGTGGTCGCATGTTATCCAGAAGCTCTTGTTCAGTGCGCTGTTTACATTCTGTCAGCATTCCCTCAGCTCGCTCCAGCTGCCGGCGCAGATTATCTACTTCGCGGTGGTAAGACAATTTCTCGACTTCGCTCAACGGGGCGGTGCATTCCACAGCCCCTCTTCCTCGCGAACGCTTCACCACGATAAGAGGGCCCAGGTGGGCCCCCTGCTTCACGGAAAACTTTGTGAGCCCAATGTTCGGATTCACTGGTACCAATACCTGCAGACCCGTAGACACAGCCTCATTCGGCATCTTCTTGACAGTCTCATCCTGCCACTGATTGGTGAGTCCCTCGTCGTGTGATGCCTGGTACCGAGGGGAGTAAACAACAGGCGCTCTGCCGGTTCCAGTGGCACTGTTATCCGACTGCACCGAGACGTTCATGTGGGACGCCATTGAAAGGGCTGGTGGACATCGGTGACCGAAGACAGTTTCCCACTGAGATGCTGCACTGTGGGAATAGGAAGCATTCAACGGGGTTCGTACTACAGGAGCGGAGGACAACAGAGTAGTGACAATCACACAATTGCCATTCATGCTGCTCACGTGTGCCTGCGAGTCAGATGCATCCATACGTTCTCTAATGTACTTTCGGTCTTCCTTGTGACGTGGAGGCTGAATCACCTGTATATAAAAAAATAAAATTAAGAAAGGAAAAGAGAGTGGGAAAAAAAGATTGACCAGTTAAGTATTCATCAACGATTCTTCTCCGCATCGTACTGCTCATGTAGTGCAGCGAGAGCGGGGAAACGAATATCGATGATGAGTCATCTATCATTGCATCGGTGGGAAAGAAACAGCTGCAAGGCCAATCCAAAGCCCCTGAAGTGGTAACAGAGACTCACACGCCAGCATTTTCCTCTATATATCCCTTTTTATGTGCTTTTGCATTACAACTTCCCTGTGTGAGAAGCTTGTTTTGCTGAGAATGTGTATATCTTCAATTACTCATCCTATTCCTCGAGGCGATCATGACGCCCCTGGGCGCGCGCCCCCTTGAAGAGCAGCAACTCTATCGAAACGTGTGTTGTTCTCTTCAGAAATCACACGATGCAGAAGCAAAGGAACCAATGACGCACAAAAAGAGACTACCTTCATTATAGCATGCTTGCGTTGCAAGCTGTGCTGTATTTATCGCCTGTGCGCAATGGAAAACTAAAAATCGTCACTGTCTTCATTGACCTCAAGTTCGTCATCTTGATCGTCATTGTCATCATCGTCGTCAAATGAGGAATATGAACCTTCCGATGCTTCCCTTCTCATTGCTGCTGCTACTGCTGCTGTCCCGGAAACCGCTGCTGGTACTGCCACTGGTGCGGCTGCAGCCGCCCCTACGGATGATGCTGCAGGAGTCATCCGAGTTGAAACAGAAAATCCACTGGTGTTTGCCACTGGCGCCGACAGAGGAGGACGTGTGCCCGCGGACACCTGTGACGATGGCACTGGTAAGGAATCTGCATTTGCAGATGCAGCGTCGTCATCTTCATCTTCATCTCCATCATTTGTTTCTGTAGACTCCTCTGTCCACTTATGAGCTCCTGTCTTGATGTTATAACTCTTGTTCTGGCCCGATTCTGAGCTTGATGCCGGGGCCAACCTGCCTTCAAGAAGATCCTCAATCTCAGGTGGGCATTCGGGAATTCCTTTCTCTTGGCAGCGCTCAGTCATGCGGAGTCCGTGGTTCGGAAAGATAACATCATAATGCGGTTTCGCTATCTTTGGATCATCCTCAGTAAAATCATACACATGAACAAAACGATTTGCTTTAGGATCCAGGCGCGCCGCCTTAAAACTGCTCTTTAGGCCGGGCAACCGGAGATGGAAAGGTTTAAAAGTCATATGGTGACTCGACTCTATGACGGGATCAGTTGATGCAAAAATGTGAAATGTGATATGGTCACAATCACGGGTACGAAGTTGTTTGCACGCCACATGCACCGTCATATTTTTGCAGTTACGCAGAAACACGCTACCTTCACAGGCAGCGATAATGAGCTCACCGCCCTCGCAATCATCCACAGTGATGCTGTCAAGAGGGTCCAGGACGTACACGGTGCAATCTTTAAGGTATTCCAGCTGTATTTGCTGGCCACTAACTTGTCCTCCGCAACGATAAAACACGCGACTCGTCCACTTTGACAGATAGTATGTGGTGTCTTCGCCAGTTTCTGCTTTCATTGGAGCAGCCTGAGCGACAGAAACTGCCGGAGGAGATGCAACGGAAACGGATTTGGTGGTTTCATCTTCTTGTTTTGCGGTAACATCATTCTCACCTGCTTTCTGCTTCATAAGCGTCGTCAGAACAGGGCCCCTGGCATCACGCAAATCCAGTTCACGAATGAGATCTCCTTTATCCTCCAGGGCACTCGCCGAGAGCCCGGCTTCTTGTTTCAGGACATTTACAGTATATGTCAAGCCAAGGTACTCGAGGTAGTCAGCCACAATGGAAAGAGCCTGCCGTCCCTGTGTAGACTCCTTTGCCTCTTTAAGCAAAGGACTTGGCACAAACAAATCCACAGCCGCCTTTTCATCCTTTGAGATCGCCCGGAGAGCGGCATCTACAATCATCGCCCGCATCTTTCCAAGTTCTCCTGAGATCTCTAACCTCTCACGAATACGCTTCTCCGTGACTGGTTTATTTACCTCCAGCATTCTTGCTTTTCCTTTTCCGTTTCACAACTAGAAAAAATCAATCAAGTAAATAGTTTTTCTAATGAAGAAGCGACAAACTAAAAAAAAAAAAAAAGAAGCGCACTCAAACATTCACAAATTCCTTTCTGAAAGGCACAATTTAATAGATGAAACCGTTTTTGCATGTCAACTTAATAATGTATTCTATCTCTTTAGCCTTTACGAGGACCTTCTGAAACTTCAGCAGCTTTTAGCCCATGATTTGATGACTGCTTTTCGCCAAGTAGATTAACAATAATAGAGCGCACACGCGAATTTAGTTTCTCAGGTTCCCGGTCGTATTGAAAAAAGAGAAATCCTATTGAAAATAAGTAGAGAAGGAATACGAAATCATGACGGGGGTATGGGATGCGACCTAGTCGGTATTGTGTGATGACAAATGATCTAAGGGCGTACATCAAACAATACAGAGCCAAGTCCATGCGTCTCCCTTTCGGCTCAAGCAATGTGGCTATTCCTGCGAGAGAACAGGTGAGGGCAAAGTAAATCCCACCACGTATGTTACCTTGCGCTGCAAAGCACGCAAATCTCACAGTACTTCCAGAATATAGGGCCAAAAACAAAGAACTCAAAAGCACAGATCTTACAGCCCCCCGCAAAACCTTCAAAGGACGACGTTTTAATTCTTTTTGTTGAAAGAGAAGAGTAGTAACAAGCTTCAGTGGAAAATACAGCGGTAAGCCTACTTGCAGCATGTTTTTGCAAATGAAGGAGAAGTAAAATTGATTGCAGCTTATTCCTGAGTGTGCGTAATGACAGCCTATCTTAAAATGTTCTTTGGGGCTCTCTGGGATGCTGAGACCTTTCTCCATACACAATTCTACCAACTCAGGGACAAGCTGGTATCTTGCAAGCCCTGCATGACCCCGTACCAGACGGTTATCAAGCATGGACACCTTCGACAAGAACTGCTGATATGATGGAGGCATTGAGAACGGGGCAAAAACGACACTATATAATATTTGGGAAGCACTCAAGCACATCGTCAGAATATCATAATATTCGAACTCTCTCATCGGCTTTGGGAGCAAAGGCACAACGCGTCCCACACAAAAGCTATGCAGAGCACGGACAAAGACATAGAGAGACAAATCGGTTCGTGTCTCACGGTTCATCACTAATGCAGGTAGAGCACAAATGCACCCAGACAGCAGAGCAGCAGCCTTTTCGGTAATCCGAAAAAACGAGGGCAATCCTGCAATCATTTGCTTTATGAGGCGATAGCAAGAGAGACCAGCCAATACAAACGCCCACTTTAATGGATCAAGGGAAAGAAACTCCCTTCCCAGCTGTCTTAAAACGCTCATTCGCAAACCTCCCTTTCCAAGCCGCTTCAAGATGCCTATTAGTATCCTTCCTATTGCCGCGTAAATGGCATTTCTTGAGGCCACAGAAGCGGTGCGCCTTACAAGCTCGATTGATACGCCATGATCATTTTCCTTATCCACAAGCCGCCAGTTCATTGAAACGGCCATTCAAGTACCTAATTCCAACCAAAGAAAAGAACCAAAGAAAGAAAAAAGGCTGACGTGCTTGCTTTTTTCAATTCCTAAAGCACACCGTATTCCATAACAAGCAAAACAAGGGAGGGGAGAAGCAAAGAGAAATCACAATATTCTTTGGGAATAATAAAATGAAAGACATCTTTGAGGCTCACCAGAAAAACGTCTGTTTTTCGATATCGATCAGATCCTCCACGACATCTCGAACCACGATCATCTCACCATCTTCCAATTCTCTTTCCTTTGCCATTTTAATATTTCCAGCATCTGCAACGGCAAAACGAGCCAACCTTTCAAGATCCTTTTTTCGTTTTTCTTGGCGTTCCCTCTTCTTTCGTTCTTCCCTCTCTTGCTGTGCTTTTTTCCTTGACTCTTCCCTCAGCTTCACAAGTTCCTCAGCCCTTTTCTTTTCCTCAAGGATCGCGCCCACCTCCTCTGAATCATCAATTTTTAGCGTCACTCCAGCAATCGTCTTTCGTTGGGTTTCAGTAGAAACAAAGTCGAATAATGCAATGACATGGCCATGCTGAAAGTCCATAAAAGTAACTTGTGACGAAGTCAAGCACGTCACATTCCCATTACATCCGGTTGTAAAATCATTAGGAAGCTGATTCGAGGAAGCAACCTCCCTGTAAAGATCCACAAGTCGCACTACCTTTGACTTAGTATTGTCTTCAACAAACCCACTTAATTCCAGTGGCGAGGAACGATTTGAGAGGCCACTTTCAATCAAAACACCGCTCCCGCTAAGAAAAAGCGTTGAAGGAGATATGGATGCATTTAAGAACTTGATATGACCCCACCACTTTCCCTTGTAACTTGAAGAAACAATACGATGCTCTCTTGTACTATAGGCCGACACTGTGATGCGCTGGCGTCCGTGCCGCGCAAGGGCAGACTCATCAGCGGTATCCAAGGGTATTTTACTCAAAGCCTTCCAAATATAGCCATCTCTTGAGTAAAAAAGTACGTGTTCCGAAGATGAATTCTTCAGCGTTACAACAACGTTCATAAGATAAGAATGATCTTCAGAGAAAAAGATCGTATTGCCCTTAAACCCCACTTCTGTTATTTCCTTTCCTGGCCAGTAGGCAAACGAAAGCATTGTGGTATCCTTCACTGTTTCCTCAAGCGAGGCTTCCCCTTCAAAGGACACAACAGTCATGTTGATAACACTCTCATTAACACGATGTGGCTTTAGTGGGCACAAGAGAGCACCGTCGATGACAACACCCTTATCACCACAGAAAGGGAACTGAGTCTGTTGAACCGAGAGACTCTTGCCTCCATCAAAGGTGCAAATTGCTGTCGTATTGTGTGAACCGTCTTCACAGCCGTCTTGGTGTACACGAGCACAAGCAACACTCTCCGTAAGCCTGACAGCCCCTGATGGTTTCCAAACATCATGCTCAGTATTCAGATGAGCCACCTGAATGGGCGTTACCACGAATGCATGAGATGTGTTGAGGGTCATGATCCACACCATAACCGCAAGAAGGCAATACAACATTTCCTTCTCTCCAATAATAAATAGAAAAAAAAACACAACTAGCCTTTCTTTTCCTTCTTCAAGCGACCCCACCAAAAAAAAAAATGTTTAAACAAGAAAAGAAGCCAACAGATAACTAAGACAAAGTTCGTGTGTAATTTGTGGCATGTCACCTTCTTCGATGGGTGAAAAAAAGTCATATATGAGAAGGAAATGGAAACACGTTATTTTGTCAAATGCTATGCCTTCTGGATGTTCGTAACTTTTAATGAAACATAGGGGTACTCGTACTGTAGTGCTCCAGTATCAGTTGTCGGCTCGTTTGCCAAAGGTGAAATTAAATTAGGATAAAGCTGTGATATCTTTTTCCTAATTTCCATTTCTTTTTTGCTATCTACCTGCAGCACAACTGGTATGCAACGAGGGGGCAAGCCATATTTCAATAGGCTTTCCACAAAGACACGAAGTGCCTTCACATGAATCCATGCCACGTAGCATACAGAGTATTGTTGCCAAACCACGGTGTACAGTGTCTTTCGCTCTTTTTCAGCCTTTTGATTTAGCTCCTTTATTTCTATCACCGAAAGATCATCAGCTCCATCAATTTCACGAACAATAAACCGTTTCTTTCGACAAGCCATCTTCACATCGTCCATCGCTTTGCGAAACGTGACAATACTGTTCAGCACATACTCCTTGTCTTCGGCAACGACTCGGTTAGATTGGGGACAGATAAACTCATTGAGTGACCAGTACGTCTCAGTCCAATCCTTTTGTGACGCCGCAGGCACGGCAACGAAAATCGTCACAAGCATTTCGGTCTCTACAAAGCATTGATTTTGTTGATTGTATAAAGCGACCAACTCACGAATAGGCTTAACAGAAAGATTTCCCTGACTTTTCCTCGTTGCTGCGTTCAGTTTGTTCCGTGTATCATTGTACTCAGTAAACAATACACGCACCCGTTCTTCCACTGATGAAGATATTCGTGAAAGCTTCTCAATTAGGCTCTGAACACCTTCTTTTGTGTCAAACTGCGCTGAGCTCCATAAAAAATTCTTGATATATCCAGCAGGGGTCATCTCCTGTGTTTGATTAATACGAAGGGCAGTAACGACAGCGCGGGGCTTCTGGGAAATCTCCTCCATCAGTCCAATAAGTTTCTCCACAGCATTTTCAAGCTGCGGATCCAACTTTGAGAGGTCATCGCTTGCTTCAATAAGAGAATCCAGGGTTCCCACTTTTAATGTAGGTACCACAAACTGTCGTAGTGCTTGACCCAGCGGTCCCATTTGTGTCACAAGGTACTTAAACTGGGAAGACGGAAGGGTATCCGCACACTGCGGAAAAAACGGCAGCCCTAAGATGAGAAAATTCTCTGACATGATCCTTTACACTATTGTGAAGTGCATTAAAAAGAGCAAAAAAAAAGCAAGAAATACATCAGACATATCCCCAATCGGTGGCCCAATATTATCCCACCCCCGGAAAAACAGGAAAAGGCACATCACAGACGAAGCAACAATTGCCCCGCAAGGCCATAGGGAGAGAACGGCGCCCCAAGCGCCCGACACGCGGCGAAAAAAAAGGAAGTGCGCCGCCCCGTCCCTCCGCAAAAGTGCGCCCGGTTTCGCCCCCGCCGCCCGCTCGGACGGCCGCGCCCCGCCAACCTCCTTTTCTCCTTTTCCCGCCCCTTCTTGCCGGGGCCACCGGCCTCCCCCCCCGCTGGCGCCCCGGCGGTGCGGCGCCTCCGGCCGCGGTTAGGGTCCGGGGTTTTTTTGCGTGTGGTGTCTGGTGTACCGCGCCCCTCGGGCCCCAGTGTTTTTTTTTTTTT